GCTTGGAGGAATTCGGTCGAAGGAACTGTAATAAAAGGAAGAGACCAAGCTGGCAGGGAAATGCTAAAAATAATCTTTGATCTTCTTACAATCTGGAACACTCAAAATGTGGAAAACTTCTTTATCCTGCTACAACAGTTCTTTTATGTATACAGCTCTCCTGTTCTTCATGACGGTACGGAAAGACCATGGGGATTACAGTATGGTAATAAACAGGTAAATATTGAGGGTTTTGAGCTACAGCAGCACTAATTTAGTTCCATAATCTTGAAATCTAAGAGAGTTTGAGGTAAGGAATACTGTTTTTCATTATCAGTCATAATCTTTTCACCTTTTTCCAGGTAGAAAACCTGCTCAGATGTTTTCTGGAGGAAAACTTCAATCTTAAGCCTAGCGGAAAGAGGAAAGGAAAAACCGAATCCTTCTTACCCCCACTGCATGCAGGACTTGTCAGTTTGCTCATCTACAACAAGTATCTGAAGGACAGCATGACAGCTCAGCTCTCTAGTCTCTGTGATCTTCTTTGCCTTCCTAAAAAGCCACGACACCATTTCCTCGATTTCTGGAAAGATTTTGCAAACCCTGTGGCAGATAAAAACAGGTGTGTGGTAAAGCTTCTAGCACAAAGTCATTATGATGATAATAATGGTTCTAATTTAAAAATAAGTAAGGAAAGAAGGACAACCAACTAAAAGCTACAATTTATGTAGAATAGGAGAAACACTTTTCACAAAAAGACATGAGAGAGAAATAAAGAATAGAGAAGAAAGAAAATTGAAACGTATCCAGATTCTCTAAATGCAACCATATTATGATTTAACCTTTTTACAGACCCACATGCACAATGTTACAATTTCACTTGAAATGCTTAACTTTTGCATAACTCCTTTTCTTTTTCTCTTGTGTAGTAGTTGATAGGTTTGAGTTAGTAAGTACGTATGTATTATATGATAGAATTAAAAATAACAATCAAATATTTAACCACTTCTTTTTTGAGAAACAAGTCTTTCCACTATAAATGTAATTAAACAAAATATGTCCTGCATTTTGTGTAAATTATTATCTCTTGGTTATATAGTGCTATTGTGACACATGAATTTCCCTCGGCTTATACAGTATGTGAACGTCTCTCTGTCTAACTGCTGACTTGTCTACCGGTATAGTGTTGCAGATGCTGTTGAGAGGCTTTGCTACAGTGCCAGAGAACACCATATTGAGGAGTGGGTCTTGGTCATTCCTCTGGTTCACCTACTGAGAGGAGAAAGCAAACCATTTGAGCCAATTCCACCTGCGTTGAACCCACAGGTTGACTCCTGGACGGGCTTAAGGGGAAACAAAGGACCGCGTAGCAACAGTAATCCTCAGTATGTGTTGTTCTCCTATAAATATCATGTTAAAATTTATTTTAAAATGCCTTACCACCATAACCAGCTTTAACTTTAATTTAGGAGTCTGATGAGGATCATGAAAGAACATACATACCTTGTGGACATTGATCGTCTTGTTGTGCACTCTTGGATGTCTCTGCTGCCTGTTGACCAAGTAATGGAGCTCATCTCCAGTGTGAAAGTGGAGCTCCTTGATGTTCTCCAATACTTACTTTTCAGCATCAGATCTGAAATAACGTACCACACCTACATGGTATGCATCTTTAAAGTAACTTAATAGTTTTTATTACAACTGAAAATCAAATAACAATAAAGAAAGGATCTCACAAGGTTTATAATGGAAACTCTTTAGAGAGCTGTGGTTTCAGAAAAATGAATAACAGGATTACATTTACTGTTTAGTTGTTTGTCCTGCAACTTTGTTGTTTTGTTTACTGTTAAAATAGCAATGTTTTTGGGCTGTAGCTGGTTTTAGTGGAAAATCAGGTCAGTATTGGGCATTTGCCAGATGGCCAGAGACTGTGTCAGTGTCATGTTCATAACTGCTGCCAGTAGGCTAAAGGTTATTGCTGGTATATGCTGTGTCAAAGCTACTACTTTCCTGGAATATTATTTTTTAACTACTCTGTATCTTCATATAATTGTCCCCTGTTATTTGGATAATAGGCTTTAAAAGATCTGGCATCTCATCTCATCAGAAGAGAGAGCCATCGCAGTAAAAGGTAAAAAAAAACAACAACAAAAACTTCTGCCTGTCAGTGTAATACAGTATCCCTGTAGTGAAGTCCATTCATTTCAGTGTCAGTATAAATACCAATCGTTATGCAGGCACAACAGTAATCCAAGTATTTTCTCCTTCTAGTTTTGATGACAAACATGGAGAGTGTTGCCTGAAAACTGCAGTAATGCTTCTGGGTTCTGTCTGCCGTCACACAAAAGAGCCAGACCGCTATGATGTTCCTCTTCTCTTCCTTGATCTGGTTTGTCTGATTTCCCAAGCGTATGGCCACACGGATTCCCAGGTGAGATATTCCGATCAGACTCCATACATAGTCAAGGCTTAAAATGCTTCAGTCTTTTTACAGCAAGAGCTGCTAACTATTGTTTGTTTTGCCTTATTTGAATGCTTTAATCCAAGGAGTTGTATTTTAGGTTACATTTGGCAACATCAAGGGTTACTTCCATTTAATTTCTGAGTGGAAAAGAACCAAGAACCATTCTTAAATCGAGGAGGTTAAAGTCAGCGTCTCTTTATTAGGGAGTGCACAGAATCTCACACAACACAGGGTTATGGGAGAGGAGCTCCCAGAACACTGTCAGTATTTATATTCTTCTTATCACGCTACTTATGAAGGGCCAGGTTCGCTCTGTTCTGGACAGTTTGCCTTTGTCTTATCATGGGAGGATTGTTTTGAGTTTCTGTTTCACCTTGCATGGGACTGCATCATTCATTTCTCTTTCATCCATCATAGGAATGTAGCTCACTGTGGTAGGAGCGTAACTTTCTGCGTCAGTAGCATATCTCTCGAAGAGCTCCTTCATATTCTCAACTAATAAGCCACACGAAGAAACAGAAAAACAATCCTCAGTATTTTTTCCATCAATTTCATAACATTTCAAAGCCTTAGTAACTTTTAGCTACTATTACAGGCAAGAGAGAGAATTCATGAAGAGTCAGTCGGGGAGACATTAGAGACAATGAGAGAATGGCGAAGAAATACCTTCAAACACAACCTGCTTAAACAGTGGAAAGCAGAGTTTGCTTCCCCCAATGAAATTAAGGTAAGCAGAAATACTGCAATAACCTGGTGTTCTCTGTTATGGTTTGACAAATATACTGTTCATAGCCATGTCACCAGTTAATGTTGTATGCAGTACTTCACCTGTGATTAAACTGATTTAAATCTGCATGACACACTCAGGTATGGAGCAAGTTACTCTCTGTATCCTTCAGTCATGAGGAGCACACTGCATTCTGGAGAACCACATTCATGAGTGACTTTGAAGGAAAACTAAAACAGGTGAGAATGGATTTTGCTGGACTTTGTGTTTTTCATTTTTTACGTGTACACATGACCAACAAATGTGAGGATGTGTGCCTGTGTGCTAGGAACATCCAGAGGCTCAAATTGGAATATACTCAAACAACATGGAAGAGCTGAGACAGACAAGTCCATTGTTATGCAACACAATGGAGAAATGTGCATTGGAGGCAGTTGCACGTATTTGCCGGGTAGGTTTTAAAAAAAATGATGAAGCACAGATGAAGCAGTTCATAGCTGCTTAAAGCTACTCTTTATGTTTATACAAAGACAATTGTAGCTCTCCCTACGAAGCAGTAACAAATAATCTAAACAATTTAAAAAAAAACAAACAATATCTTAGATGTAGAGGAATCTATTTGCAGAAATATATATATATATATATATATATTCATATTTAGAAGTATTTTTACAAATATTTGTGTGTAACTATGAATCACTGTGTTTTCCTTAGTTTAGATGTTTCTACAATCATCCAAGCGGACAAATGAAACCCTGGCCTTAGAAAAGGCCTTTTGTGCTTTTATGTTGAATTTTGGTCCCCGTAGATTCTGCTACATGGTTGAAAAGGGAATGGTGTTCAGTTTGTTACAATTTGCAGTCTTACATTCAATGCCACTGAGCTGTTAAAGGTCCAGTGTGTAAGATTTAGTGACATCTAGTGGTGATGTTGTAGGTTACAACCAACTGAATACCCCTCGCCTCACCTTCCCTTTTGAAGCATGTCGCAGAACCTGCAGTAGCTCCAGGAAATGCAAAAAGATATTCGATATTCACACTGGACCTTTAAAGTTTTTTAGCAGTTCATTACCTCAGTGATTGAACAAGTGACATATACTGTGTTCAAGTTTATCTCAGACCTCTTAACGTGAAAGGACAAGTCATTCATTGGCTAAAAATTTGCCCCAGTATATCCTGACAGTAGGGTGCCTAGAATTACTAATGGCATTACAATAGCATTTTGTGCATGATTTTAATTTTCGTGGTATTTTGTCTGTTTAGGATGAATCTGGTCAAGCTCTGTCTGCTCTGTTGAAGAAACATGATATCACAAAGTTTGGGAAGCTGATGTCTGTTGTTGTGCTGAAGTCCTGGCCTACAGATGCCAATGGTGATTACATTGAAGGAGAAGACTTGACATTTCAGTTCCTTATAAACTGGCCCATGGCCAAAACTGTCTTCCAAATGGCAGGTAAATGCTGAAATGTGACATATTACTACAAAAATGAGTGTGAATCTGCTCTTCATGAATGCCTTGGGTGTGATCACATTTAAACATTTAAGAGTGTATGTGCGTGCGTGCGTGCGTGCATGTGTATTTGTATTTGTATTGAACATGTTGTAGGAAGAAATGTGTTTACATAGTCACATTGTGGGGACTTTGGAAATGAAAAACAAGTCCCTATAAAACAAATAATTACATTACAGAAGACTTTAGAGTTGATGTAGAGGTGAAGATTTAGGCAAGTAGTGGTACTAGTTAGGTTTACTCTCCCACTTTAAATGAATTTATACCATGATCAGCGAGAATTGTATGGCTAACTGGCGTGCATTATTTTCGTGTATACACTCACGTAGTTCAGTGAGTTAAATCACTATTATATCACGCCGCTCTGAGCGTTACCATAGCAATGCGCAAATCAGCTGGCGCAGATCAGCTGTGTCTTGACATGTGAATGAGAGAAACACAATAAAACATGGATTTCAAGGTTAATTTTAATATTTTTGGCCGAAACCAAACGTATGAAGTATTAAAAAGAGGAGGAGAGCAAACGAGAAGAACAGCAAAAGCAACGACGTAAAGATTTATACCATGGTCAGCGAGAATTCTATGGCTAACTGGCGTGCATTATTTGCATAAAGTAATCCCAAAAACGTAGGCATTTTTAGCACGTTCTAATAATTAAATAAATATTTTGTGTGTTTGCTTGCTGTGTGGGACCATGGTATAAGCAGATTAAACAACGAGGAGCCGTGCATTATACGGTTTGAATGCACTTCGCGTCGTGGTGTTCTAGACTCCGCTGCGTTTATTCAAACCGTATAATGCACAGTTCCTCATTGTTTAATCCTTACTTAAGTCATTCATAATGTTGTCTGAAATGATGGAAACTGAACTGTGTGTGTGGAAGCAGCGTAAGATATAGACAAGTAATGTGAAGGCTGGCTGGCTTTTTGTCATGAACTGTTTTTATTCTGTATAACTGTATATCTGCTCACAACTCAGTGAAATGTTTTGTTGTTGATGTTTGCACTCTTGTGGTTCAGGTGCAAGAGGCG